CAATTTTCTCCATTTTTATGTTCAAACTGGAGAACAACATACCCCCATTCACTTACAGTGCGCTGGTGGTAAAACCAGTATTCTGAAATTCTTCACAATTTACAAGCATTCCAGGAAGATGATTGTTGGCTTTCACCCCAAATCTCCGCTTTCTACCTCTATTCCTTCGTGGTCACGAAAAAACTTTTGGTATGCCCCTCGTATGTGAAGCGTGTTGACAAAATGAGTTACTTATCGGACTTGAGACCCATGGGAATAGATACATCGCGCTTATAGGTGAAGTTTTTTTCAATTTATAAGTATGAAATAATAAAAGACATACTTAAAGAAGAGAACATCAATAGAAAATCAGCAAATTTGATCCTAGAGTCGAGTTTTGGCCAACATATCCATTTGTGGATTGCGAGAAGTATCTCATTTTGTCAGCACGCCTCACATATACCTAACTGAAATATAGATATGGGGCTTAATGGGGCTTCGAGGAGAATATTGCATTGGGAGTCTTGAATTTGACAGTTTGCAGCACTCGAAAATGTCGCTTGAAAACCAAACTCGAAACCGAGCAACAAATTTATGAAAAATGAGACGACTGAAAGATTTTCTTGTTTGTGTGTCTTGTTTTTCCCATCCTTACCTCGTCGTATTTCCCTGATGTTTTATAATTATTGGTACTAAGTTGTATTACTGAGTTGTTGTTTTTAACCAATAGCTATGCACCTCCACACACGCACAGAGAGGAAGAGAGAGAGAGAGAGAGAGAGAGAGAGAGAGAGAGAGAGAGAGAGACAGAGAGAGAGACAGGTAGTAGTAGTAGTAGCAGTATTTCAATGATAATATTGTTACAGTCTTGAAATATTTCATAATCCGTTCACTGAGTTGACTTTTCTAATGGGAACAATGGGTAGGTGAGGTGTGCCAGGCGGCACGCCGGAACAAGTCACTCAAAAGATGTGAACAACGGTGTCTTAAACATATCATAATATGATTGATATCAGTTAGATTTAGTAGAAGTTTACGTTTAATTTCACCCTCCTGTGATCTTACCTGATGTAGGGGGTACCACTGGCCACGTGATACTTGGCACCTGGGTCAAAATCTGTGTCCTGTCTACGAACTGGCGGCGACACGCCCTGGTACTTGCACCTGTCAACACATTCAGATCACAGGTACGTTCTTTAGGATATCAGCCTTAAACGTCAATGCAACGTTTGTGTTTGTTTGTTTGTTTTTACTTGTTTGGTTGTTTGCTTTTGTTATTGTATGTTTTGTTTTGTGTATTTTGTGGCGTTGTTGTGTTGGGGTTTTTTGGGGGTTTTTTGTTTTGTTGTTGTTTGTTGTTGTTGTTTTTTTCGGGGGGGGTGGAGTCTTTTATTGAAATTTTGCTTGTTTGTTTGTCTCTCTCTCTCTCTCTCTCTCTCTCTCTCTCTCTCTCTCTCTCTCTCTCTCTTTCCATCTTTCTCTCGTCTCCTCTCTCTCCCTCTCACTAATGACGCCACTACCGCTGATGCCTGCAATATGCCTTGCCGTCCCCGCCTGCATAATTTGCATGTGTCTGAGCAGAAGCAAGGAACCGTGAAACGAGCCAAAAGAATATTCTCCCCGCTCCCTACTTCTTTCTTTTTATTTTTCTTTCCATTTTCTTTCCTTTTTTCCAAGCTACTTTTTTTTCTTCTCTTAAGTCTAGCGTCTCAAGATACCCCCCCTCCCCACCCCAACCCCACTCCACCGCTCCAATCTGATACCTTTTCTGCCGCGTCTTTTTTTCTTCTCTTTATCTTTTTGTCTGTCTGCTCCGTCTCTCTCTCCCCCCTCTCTTTCTCTCTCTCTCTCTATCTCTCTCTTTCTATCTTTATCTGTCTCTCTCTCCCCCTCACTCTCTTAATCTTCTCTCTCTTTCTATACATTTCAATCTCTCTCTCTATCTGTCTTCCCCCCTCTCTCTCTCCCCCACTCTCCTTCCCTGTCTGTCTGTCTCTCTCTCTCTCTCTGCCTCTCTGTCCTTCTCTCTCTTTTTCTCTCTCCCCCCTCTC